GACTGACCGATCAGCCAGATTCACCATTTAAATAGAACAAGCTCAAATAGCATATTATGACGCTATTTCTGAGTAAACCGCAAATTCAATTAAACTCAACATGAAAGAAACATGACAGAAGCCGAAGCACTGGGCGAGGCAAAGGCAATACAGTTGAATCTTAGCGGCTAGTGCAGCAGTATTAGCAGTGGTGGCAGGAATGAGGGGAAGACAAAAGAAAAGCATTAATCGTATAAATAAAACGTTAAGCTCTGTATGAACTAACTGATTGGACCGAGGTCGACATCCGTGGGGTAGCTGTAACCGTAGGCCCAGTCGGATTATTTGCCGGCAGAGTCGAGCTAGTGGAACTCAGGCTGGAGGTGCCGTTTACTAGAGCGCCAGATACCACAGCGCTAGCAGAAGAGGATGGGGCTGCCGGGCTGGTGGGAGAGGAGGTCGGTGTAGTTGAAATAAGCGTAGCACAGGGCAGACTGGGCTTAGCAGCTATCTTTGGCAAGTGATCCCCAGCAGCTCCAGTGACTGAGCGACCTGACCAGGCACTGATGACGGTCGAAGGGCCAGCCGAAGTGGTTGTGGTCGTGAGGGCAGTTGAAGCGCCGAATGACGGTGCGATTGGTACCATGTTGACGGATGGGCGCGGTAGACCCTATGGGGACGCAGACCGAAACGAAAAATGCGAACTCAAATGGAAATTAGTTTGGGCTTTTCAAGTCAAAGAAGGGGTAGGAAGCTGGCTACTGTTGAAATTTTCGGCCTAGACAATGTTTAGAACATTGCCAACATTTCACTAGGTCGCATAGGGTGAGACAGATAGATGGTCACATTTTCCCACAATTATATGAATATGTCTCCAGTTTTCATTTAATTTCACTTAAAATTGCCTACCAAAAAGTTTTTCATCGAGACTGAACTGGACTACAGCTTATTTCGTTTAAAATTATAAGATGACTGGTAGTTGAATTTTCCCACAATGAAATGACTAGACCTTACGTTTCCAATGAATTTAGCATAGCCTTGCTTCCCAAAAGGTGTTTTCATCAAGGCTGGACTGGGGGTCTCAAAACCCTACTTATAAAAGAAAAATACTTCACTCAAATATGCATAAAATAGGTTTCGAAAGGATCGGTCAATCTTGGTGGTTTCTAAATCTACTTACCTAATTACGGAAATCGTAATGGCTCCTCGGGAAACTGGCAATAAACCATTGAAGGTCCATATGAGAAGCTTCAATTGATGGCTGAAAATGGAGTTGACGAATCACTCCAATGGAGTTTGTAGACTGGAAGATTTCACGATTGTCTATTTTTGGTACCACTCTATTGGGCAGCAGTGAGTTTATTTAAATGTGAAGGCAGACTACTATTGTCTTTATGGTATTTTGACTGATGGTTAGTTTGCTCACGAAAAGAAGGCATGGCTATCTTAAGTGCGCTTTATTTTGGATGGAAGAAAGCTGTGATTGCGTCTAAGTTTCAGTAGCCCCGTCATAGGAGAGAAGGGGGCAACATCTTAGACGAAATGGCGCAATGGATTACAGAGCCTACATAACTTTTAATTTAAATAGGAAATCCTCCAACTCTAATCTGGAGTGAGGATGCACCAAGGGGAGGAAGAAGTGCTGGACATTTAATGAACTAACATAATTGTGTGATAGTGGGGATGTACTTTTGCTAACTTGATTAAGTTACATTCAAGAGTGAATCCAGTGTCCACTTGACTTTGCATGGTTACTGAGAAGTTATCTGGCCTATACAGGTAAGGTTTTTGACGAGGCCACAGATACAGTCAGGCTTGTGAGACAATGCTCTCT